AAATCCTTTCTTACAGGAAAGTGGTATCTTTTTGGAGGGGACACAACAGGGCGCATTTAATTATATCAGGGCAGGATAAAAGGAGTAAAGGGCAATAGGGCGGATATTTTATATCAAAAGGGCATACGGGGCGGGCCGCCCTGTAAACCCCACTTAGAATGAACCCTGATTATACCTTTAGCTATAATTCATTACAAGTCTCATGAAGGGGAATTTGTTTTCTTTTTATATTACAGTCAAACCATGCTATAGTGAACACGGTTTATAGTAAACTCCCGGATATAGTGAACGAAATTTTCGGTCCCGTGCCTTGCTATACATGCATAATGTTATTTTTTGTGGATATAGTGAACCAAAAAAGTGAGGAATTTGGATATAATGAACTTTTCTCTGTCTTCGACTGATTTTTTGTCATAAGTTTGAAATTTCTACTTCAAAATAAATACATATACAAATTTTAAAAACCATCTATAGAGGGGAATGTAGTGATAAGCATTTTTTCTTGTTTACTTCTTTTATCTCACTTTCCCATCCCTAAACAAACCAAGCAGATGTTTCCAACCCTGGCAGATGATGCACCTGCATGGTGTCAGTGGGATCAATATGCAATTTCTGTCAGATGGAATGAGTAATTATTCATTATAGGTCAAAGGTAGGACACTAATATGTGTTGATAAGGTCCTCATTTCAACTCCTTTTTGTTCTCAGTTCAGTTAAAAAAAAAAAAAAAAAAAAAAAAAAAAAAAAAAAAAAANAAAAAAAAAAAAGCCTGCAAACAAGTGTCTAAAATTTAACTATGGCCAGCAGTAAATGTAAAACCTTGTCCTTTGATGATAAAATGGGCATAATCATAAACATTTAAAATGGATGCAATCAAGCTGATAATTTCAGGGAATATAAACTATCCAAATCTGCAGTTTGTAACATATGTAAAATAGGCAATTAATAATTTCTGCTCATGAAAAAAAAATTTCGATAGCAGAAAAAAGTTGAGAAAAGCAAATCACAAGTATGTTGAAGCATTACTGAAATGGTTCCCCATTTGAATAAGCCGCAATTTTCCAGTATCTGGACAAGTGTCGATGAATTTGCTAAGTGATTTTATGACACTACTATTATGTGCTCGAACGGCAGGTTAGTCAGGTTTAAAAAATGGAATAACAGAAATTCAGGAAAAATTATCTGAGAGGCAGGAAGAGTTTCCATATCTGATGTTGAGGATTGCTCATCAGCTAAAGATTACAAATTTTTTTTGTACGCAAGACGAAGAGTAATGAAAACTAACACATTTTTTGCTACTACATAATATTTTTCAGTCATTTATTTAAATAATGTGTAATAAAAGGGAGGAGTTTGGGAGCCATTAGTTAAATTGCCTGCGTAACGAATATAGTGAACCAAAATTTCAGTCCCTTGAAGGTTCACTATAGCAGGGTTTGACTGTATTGTATATTTTATGTATGACAACTTTCTTCATTAAAGCATTATTAAATTTTTAGAAAATCTAATTGTCAAATATCTTGAATACCTTACCTTCAAGTTGTAAGTTTGGCATACTTAGATAGTCCCAACTGTTAAAACACATTTAATGTAATTAGGATATTTATTCTAATAACTGTGCTAAATATTGATCTGCTGATTTTAGTATTTCTGTTTGTTGACCATGAAGTACCCGTATGATTCTTTAATCATTTCTTTTATAATGTTCCATATTTTCGTACCCTCTAATTTTCAATATATGTAGATGTTTTTTTTTTTTTTTTCTTTCTATTCCAGTACATTTTACCAGCTATTGTACATATCAATCATCAACCACCATTAGAACGAGGAGATGGTCCAATTGTAAGCAAATTTTTCTCCCTTGAAAATTGCTTGATTCTTTTAATACGAAAGTAGAGTTTAATTGTTGTGGTGTACTTTTACAGGCCTTGGTATTAGCTCCAACAAGAGAACTAGCCCAACAAATCCAGCAAGTTGCAATTGATTTTGGACAAACCTCTCGTGTTAGAAATACCTGTGTTTTTGGAGGTGCCCCTAAAGGGCCACAAATCAGAGATTTAGAAAGAGGTAAAAATAACTTTTTGTATTTCTAAAATTTGTGAAATTGTATACAATAATACTAAAAATTAAAAATATCTTTTAAAATTTAGGGGCTGAGATATGTGTAGCTACCCCGGGTCGCCTTATAGACTTTTTAGAAGCAGGGGTGACTAATCTACGTCGTTGTACATATCTTGTTTTAGATGAAGCTGATCGGATGTTAGACATGGGCTTTGAGCCGCAAATTAGGAAAATTTTAGAGCAGATTAGAGTAAGGAATATAATTTTTATATTTTCATTTCCTAATCAGACATCTGTACAAATGTTTCTACGTTAAACTTCTGATTTAAAATTCTTTCTTGCTTATTTACTTATTTTACATTTCTTTGTTTCTATACAAGGTAAAGGTTAATTCTTTATGAAATTTACATTAATCATGCTTAATATCATAAGTTAAATATCTTTTTCTTTTTACCCCATAAAAGTTCATAACTAATCTGAATTTTTTTTTAACATGGAATTAAATTTTATTTTGTGAAGTTTGCCAGTTTTCATAAAATTGTAATTTTTTTTATACACTTATACTTTGCTATAAAAACTTTTTTTTGCTAAGTTGAATTCTGTAAGTAAAAGACTATTTTTCCTCTGTATAATAATCGAATTTTAAATAATTTACACTTAATAAAACCTCTCTTGTTTCTTTGTTTATGTGAGTGTTGATGTTGGATATAAAAATACTATGCATGCAAAGTATGTTTTAAATTATTTTTGTCATATATTAGCCAAAATCTTTTTGAGATAATTTTTCTCTTATGTCAAAATTTATGATAAATCTCAAGTTTTAACAGTTTCCAACAAATTTTTTAACTTATTACTCACTATTTGATAATAATTACTTACAGCCTGATCGCCAAACACTTATGTGGAGTGCTACTTGGCCTAAAGAAGTTAGAGCATTGGCTGAAGATTTCTTAAAAGAATATGTTCAGATTAATATCGGAGCCCTACAGTTATGTGCAAATCATAACATTACTCAAATAATAGATGTCTGTGAAGAAAGTGAAAAAGAAGCAAAGTATGTATAACTCTTTCATGTCATTGACATAGGGGCAAGGGATGACTGGGAATTGTGTAATGAGTATTTTTAGGGTGGTGCCAATGATATGCGTATTATCTTTTTTATGTTTTACAGTTTTGTATATTTTATGTTCGTGATAAAATAATTGGTTGATATCTGCTCTGAAAATGATTTGATCAAATATGTTATAATTTGTCCCAATAAATCAAGAGTATGAAGGAGGTGCTATTTGCTTAGATTTACCATTTTTTATGTCCATGGAAAAGATTCCTGTTCTGATGAAAAGAAAGAGAAAATAAAATTTGATTTCTTTTTTTTTCCGATTCTCATAACTAAAAACTCAGTCTTATTTAACATTTTTTGTGAAATTAGACAATCATTATCTATGTTTTACTTAGTTAAAAATGTGAAATAATGACTTATCTCAATTGATCATTACATCATGTTTCCTAAGATATGATTTGAAAAAATGGTTCAACTCACAACAATGCAGGGCATCATTAACTTGTTAAGTTTTTTGACAAATGTTCAAGTTAGTTGTACTCCAAGTTTATTTTGTAAGAATTTATCTCTTTATTCATTTAGTTCAATAATTATGAAATTTAATTTAGGATTCTGGAATTAAAGGGGAAAATGGCAAGCAGGAGGCTACTTATAATTGTGCTAAAAAGGATATCTAAGATCGTTATCAGATACATTGCTCCTAAAGCTTTTAAAAATGTTTTATTAATTTTATTGTGTAAAGATTACTAATTCACAAACGTTAAGAGATTAGTAATTAATTTACCTATTTTTAGCAAAGGCAAATATATCTTTTATGACATTTGTAATTTCAGGCTGTTTAATTTATATTTTAATTTAATTTATAATAATTATTAAACTATGTGTCTCTGCAACGCAAACTAAAATTCTACTAATTTAGTTTTTTATAGCTACAAACTAATTGTATTTGCCTTTTTAAAATTTTCAAACTCAATTATAAATTTTTAGAAAAGTGTTACACTTTCAAATTTTGAAACTAGTAGCTAATAGTATGAATGCTGATTTTAAATATTTTTTCCTTAGTGTTAAGAAGAAAAAAAACTTTATTTGAATATGATTCTAAAGATATACTGAAAAATGTTAAAATTCGAACATCCTATTTTTCAGCTGCTGTATTAACCAAACAATTGGGGCAATATTTTTTAGATTGCAAATTTTTCACCTGCACTATACAGGCAAAGATCAAAATCTTTGTAATGGCATTTTTATTCCAATAAAGTATTTTTTTGTTAAGTAAATACCTTGCATACCTATTTTAATATTAATAGTTTTTAGAGTTTTTTTTATTGATCTTCTATTTTAAAGAATTCGATTAATGATTAAATTTAAATTGTCAATAAATTGTTTTCTGAAAATTGAGGAGAGCAGCTTAAAACTTTTTAAGCTAGTAATAATTTCCATAGTTTTCCGCCACTTTACTACTAATTCTTAATGCATAGTAAAATGAATTTCTGCAATATTTTTCATTCACTTAAATAGACATGTATTGATTTTTTTTTTAAATTCTTCCCTTAGATGCTTCAAGCTGTTAGAAGAAATCATGACAGAAAAAGATAATAAGGTAACTTTTTTATTTTATTTTGCTTGATCTTAATCTAATTTTTGCCTTTTTTATGCACAAAGTATAAAATGCATCTATGATTTGTTTGCAATTAATTTCATTTAAGGATTAAATCGAATCAAATAACAATGTAATTTTAAGATTCTATTTGACACTACAGTCATTACTAATTTCTGAATTTTGAATTGTGTTAGGACATAGACGACAGCATTTAAAAATGTCAAGTTTCTTTTTTCTTTAAAAAAAAAAAAAAAAAAAAAGAAACATTGAAGTCAGGGTTGGCAGGTTTTTGACACGTGACAGTTTTTGACAGTTTAAACCATGGTTTAAACCGTCACGTCAAAAACCTCACTGTCGAAAATGTCAAAAACCTATATTCATATGTGAAATTTAATTAATACATAAAATTTATATATTTTTTATAAAGGATAGTGTTTCTAAATATGTTCTAGAAAAAATAAATTTAAAATTTTGAAGAAACACTTATATTTTGAATAGTAACCAAAATCTTGTACTTTTGAAAGCTCACATCTTTTGTAATATTATGTATTCATTTTCATGTGTTATTGAAAATCTGNTATATACAAAATTAGCTATATACAAAATTTTAGGGATAATGATTTTTACAGCTTTAATCGAGTCTTCTAGGCATGAAAGTTTGAAGAAAAAAAAAGTGCTTGAAAAATAAAATGTAGATTGTATAGTAATTCTAATGCACATTCACAAGGTTTTCTATAATTTACGATATTTCTTTTTTCTATAACTCAATGAATTGCTGAATGTTTAGTGACATTTTAAGAACATTGAAATATTTTATGTTTGTTTTAAAATGATAAGTGTAATAATTATAAATAAATATAATAAACAATATGAATTATATTTATCATTATTCCCAAATATAACTACTTTTAAATTCAAATTAACATACTGGAAATAAAGATATTCGATATAACATTAAAATTTTTTTTCATACACTTGTATCAAGTTTGTATTTATACAACATAACTTGTAAGTTCCTTATAAATATTAGTTATATGTTCTTTATAGGCCAAAAATGCATAGTAATAAACTTTTAATTTTCTTAAGTATCAAAAAAAAAAAAATTTTTTTTTTCAAAATATAAATTTTTAAAAAATTTTGTGCAAAATTTTTTTGCACATGCATTTGAATATAAATTTCTGAGATTTTAAATCTGTTATTTTACCTTAATTTTATATTAAAAATATTTTAAAACCTGCTGATTACCTGTAGTATAATTAAATTTCAATTTAATGCATGGCAACTGTTGGTAGTTTTGAAGTTTATATATTTTCTTGGCAAACTTTAGTTTTTGACATTTTCGACGGGTTTTTGACGGTTTAAACCAGTATTATACCCTTGTCATGTCAAAAACCACTTTTTGACGTCAAAAACCCAACCCTGATTGAAGTGTTACACTTAACCTTACCCTTTACCCCTTCTATCACATGACACACAATATTACATAATCGTATATTTGCAGTTCAGGAACAAAGAACAAGTTTATAAATCATATTTCAAATTTTATTGTTAACTAAGTGTTTTGATGACATTTGTGAGTATGATAATAATTATGTGTGTACTTAATTTGGTGATAAAAATTTAAAAGTATATATAAAAAATATTTGAATCTACAGATTTTAATTGTTTTATTACTGCCAAAATATATAATATCTCATTCTTTACCTCCTTTCTTTCCCTTGTCACAAACTACCAGAATTTCAATTACTCCTCCCACTTCAAGCATGAAATCATTTGTATACTGCACCCACATTATTTTATTTATCTGTATTGTTGATATATTTTTTTGTAAGGAACAATAGTAGATGCTGGTATTTCTTTTAAAGATAAATATGTATTATAATAGACTTACCAAATGTTAACAACTTGCAAACAGCAAGCATGCATATGCAACAACATGAATGTTAAATCCATTATGGGCTAAGAGTCTTCTTTTATTGGTTGTGTGTTAGAAATTTGTTGAGGAAGAGCACTTTTTAATATATGTATCTATTGAAAATTTGATAAATGAAAAATGAGGCCTGGTCATAGTTGGGGGATATATATATGGCATAGCAGCCAGCTGTTTCAATCAAATTGATTTTTTTAGTCTTGTTTCGAAAGTATGATTTCGGGTCAAAATGTTTTGATTTTTCAGTATCATAGCTTCTTTTCACTGCTTATGTTTTACTTTTAACCTAGTGTGAGTGTAAAAAGTCGAAGCAGGGTTTGTGATTTTTCCGTGAATATCGTAAGATTCCGTGTATCTCAAGACCATAAGTTCACAGACTTCCGCAAATCAAAAGCTTCAATGAAATTTCGTAACTTTTGCTAAATTTCATTAACGAAACATTTATGTGTATATGATTTTTCCTCCAATTTTATTCTTTTGGTTCTGGTTGGTTTTTGTCATTTTGAATATTTGGAATCTTCTAATATTGGGATTTATATTCAAACAATTTTAATATTAATCCTCGATTTTTCCTATTCACCTGATTTAAAATATGCGTTTAGTGATTCGTAATGTTCACATGATTTAAATTATGCTTCATGATTCGTATTTACGCAGTTTTAAAATTCCATATCGCAATTTGTATTTTTCCCGTTTTTAATATACAATATCTCTACTCATATTCACGCGATTTTACAATCCGACATTGCGATTCTTGTAAAAAAAAAATACAAATTTATTGAATTTGTTACTACAAAGTTATTCTACTTTAGTAAGTTACTTAATGATAAATGTTAGTTCAAAAAATTATGTTTAATATGAAACATGTATGGTTTATATGTTATCTATTTTTTTGCACTTAAAAAATTTTCATGGTTTTTCACTTTTTGTCACAATTACCCCTGATTGGCTGATCATGCTTTGTGTTCCTATTTTTGTCTTTAACAAGTTGGCAGCTTTATTTATTACACAGTATACATTTTATAGATTTTTTTTAATGTTCTTTGAATCCACTCTTAAAAGCAGGTGGAAAATGTAAGTACTGCTTAAAAAGGAGTTAGTTTTTTGGTTTAATTTTCTGTAAACCAGTATACAAAATCGGCACTATTACATAGTGTAAATAAACTAATAAATGCCCTTATTCCATTTACATTTTTTCTCTTTGCTGTCTTAATTGTTCATTTTTTAAAAAATTGTATTAATGTATTTTAAATATTTATTTTTAAAAAAAAAATCTTTTTTTTTTTTTGTTTAGACAATTATTTTTGCTGAAACTAAAAGAAAAGTAGATGATTTAACCAGAAGAATGCGCAGAGATGGGTAAAAAGATCTCAAATAAATTTTTTGATAGTTTTTGTATTATCTGAAATATTTAACTGAAAAGTTTAACTTTTACAGGTGGCCCGCCATGTGTATTCATGGAGATAAATCCCAACCTGAACGAGATTGGGTTTTGAATGGTAATGATGTCTTTTCTATTCGTATCGCTTAAGTATTGGTATAAATCTAGTTTTGTTTATTACATTCCTTTTTTTCCCCTTTTAGAATTCAGAACTGGCAGATCTCCTATTTTGGTTGCCACTGATGTTGCAGCACGTGGATTGGGTGCGTAACCAGTAAATTTTCTCCCTGCTTCGTTGGTTAGAAATAATGTGGGGCTAATTGTACTTTTGGGTGGCATGACATGAGAGGTATAACAGCAAAACGATACGTTTTCACATTTGGTAACCCCTTGTTTATAAAATTGAATGACTTCTAACATTAATGAAAATTCTACAAGTATGATGACCTCGTGCTGTAAGTTTCATTGTATGGCATTCCAGGTGTGAATCAAAGTAACAGATGGAAATGATTCATAAAGAGTTAGTTAATGGATGGAGTTTCTAAGTGACATTTTTATTGAATTTGAGTTATTTAAAAATTATATATTGATAGAAAGAAAAAATATCTCTTGCCTTTTTTTCTTGTCTGCAAGCTTCGCTTTATTATCCAACGTTTGATTTTCCAAGGTTACTCGTCTTGACAAAATTATTGTTGAATGAGACTAAATGAAGATTTTTTGTTATAAAATCTCAAATTTTCAAAAATGTCACTCAAGACCTGTCACTATGCTTTTCATTTAGTTATTTAAAATGGTGTAAGACATAAAAATTAAATTACTGCCAATGCAATGCAGTTTAATGTGACTTAAAAATTTATTAATTACTACCAAGGTTATTGCTAATTTCTTGGTAACTTATTAACTGCTAAATTGATTTGAAATAAAAATAAGTGATGGAAAATTATTGTTACTAAATGTGCTAAATAATTTTCTCACTTGAACAAATATCCTTTAAAAGGGGTCTAATAGAAAGTAATTTTCCTCATTGTTTTGTATTTCTTCTCTGAGCAGGGAGATGAATGCATACAAATTGGCACATTATTAGTTCCTTAAACCACCCTATTTTACTTTTGATAACGTGCTGAAAATTTTTTTCTAAAGAAACTTATTTCTTTTTGTCACTTATCTTCCACATAAAGTTATGACTTTATTACAAAATGTACAATTACTGTCGAAAATTAATGATAGTTATTTGTATTTACATTTATGATAAAAAAAAAAAAAAGATTAAAAATTATAATATAAGTTTGATTTCTCTAAACATCCTCATTATCCATTATAAATTACTATACTTTGCTTTTGTGATTCTCTAATTATCAAATTGGAGTTAAGTAGATATGGATAAAGAATTTTTAATTAATTTAAAATGGAGTTTTCTGTAAGCAGAAATAAAACTTATCAAAATTATGGTTAATTAATATATAATCAAGAAAATGAATTACTATGTAATAATGGTCTTTATTTTTGTAAACTTAAATGGGAGGTGTATTTTAGTTTGTTCGGTATTTTGAAATCTTGCCAAATCCTTTTTATCAGTAATAAGAATTTCTTTTCATTCTGGCAAGTATTTTTAGACATAATCTGGGCTGATTGTGCTCCGGAAAAAATTCAGATTTCCGGAATTTTCGCTAACAGTGATCCGGAAGTTTCCGGAGATCGAAGGTCCAGGCGTTTAAAAAAATCATTGATCACAGAAGTTTCCAGAAATCAAATTTTCAAAGGTGGAACTTAAAAACACAGTTCATTTTGTTTGTTTGTAAGGGAGAGCCAAAGATGTACTTTATAAGCTTATATTCATGATTAATATTCATTTTTTATCAGAAAATAGTTGTTATAATCATAAAACTCAAGAAAGACATATTTGTAAATTTTAATTACTTCTCCGGGTCATCATAGGTATGTGTAAATGGTATTGGTATGTGTAAAATTTTAAATATATTTTAAGTGAACTAAGAAATATTGAGGAAAAGAAAAAAAACTTTGTTTAAATTTTTTTAAATTTAAACTTCTTTTTTTTTAACTCAACAAATTTTCTGGAATTTTGACTTGGGCTCACAATCACCCCCAGATTCATGCCTGACTGTTGATTGTAGATTAACAGAAAATTGGAGTGCCTACGTGAAGAGGCAAATCTTGTTTTCATAACCATAATTCAGCTTTTTACAGGACTGTTTTTATCATGCTTGGTGACAGTTTATTTTGGCTTTCTACCTGTTAATTTTTTTTTATTATTATGCAAAAATTTATGGTTTGAGATTAATTGAGAAGAGTTGTAACTAGTCAATACCATACAAGAGACAAAGCTAGTCATTAAAGGTAACAGTCCTGTCATGTAAAAAGACTACAACTTTCTTGTTTTATATATCATATGATAACTACAAAACTGGAAAAAAGTGCATTCAACTAATTCTTAATACTGTGTTGAATTCATTAAAGATATTTTCTCTGTGACTGCTTATGTTAGACATTAAAATTCTTTTTTTTTTTTTTTTTTTTTTTTTTTTTTTTTTTTTTTTTTTTTTAATTGCTGTTTTCCGATTGTTTTTAATTCTATCGGTTGTATTAAAATTTTACTTTTATTCAGAGTAAAAAAAATCTACTGATGGTATGTGAAACTAGTTACAAAGTTTAATGTTATCCAGATATGTTTCTATTATTGAAATTTGTTGCATGCGCATTGAAGGAAATTTATCTATACATATACTTTAACATTTATCTAACTTAAGTGAAACCCGACCTATTTCATCTAATAATTTTTTTATAGAAACTAACATTTTTTAAAACTATTTATTTTTCATTAATAAACTTTGATTCTTAAGATGAAACTTGCGTCTTCAACGTCACAATCAAACCAGGCTGTTCACACTTTTAACTATGATTATGACTACATGGGGTGTGACGCTTATAATGTTGGGAATAATGAACATTTAAAAGAAAAAAAAGATGCCTTTAAGGTATTATGACTGCATATTTATTGGGGAAAGTCTGTTGTAAAAGTGAAGGGGGGGGAATAGAATCTACTTCAGTATTTAGATGACAGATTTGAACAATCAAATTTGAATAACTAAACTTAATTATGTTATTTAAAATCGGATCAGTTTCTTCATTTTTAGGATATGTGTATATATCAATGGTCTTTTATTGCATAAAACAGGGATGGCGAACCAATGGCACGCGTGCCATTTATGGTACGTTCTGGGCACGCCACTGATCACAAAGTTCACTACGAAGCATAGTAACAATTAAATTAAAATTTACAAAAACAAACAAAAAAAATTAAAGATTATTAACAAAAAAAATTATAATTAATGCCAAAAAAAAATTAGTAACCATAAATAACAAGCAAAAAGAGATAACAGTCCTGCTTAAACTAGCATCTTACAACCTAATATAAGTTATTTGTCATCTAATCTGCAACAACAGAATTTACACTGATGTTACTTTAAGTTGAATTACGCTTATAACCGAGACACTGCAAAATGTTTTTCTTTTTTTCTTTATAGTAAATAAAGAGTTTTGGTAGTATTTAGTATTATTACTTTCCCAATAATAACGAAGTCAAAATGATTTGATGGCATGTCTATGACCTCATTTAAAAAAAATTTGAAAAAATTGGCACGTTGGTGCATAAAGGTTCGCCACCCCTGGCTTAAAATGACAAATGTCTTAAGCAGTCAAAAGCTGATGCAACTTAGTCCTATTTTAAATTTTACTAATTTGCATAAAAGTATCCTTATGTGCAGGGCTCTGGAGTCTGAATTTGTGTTGAGCAGATTTTTTGGGTTAACGAGGCTGTGAAGTCTTTGAAAGCATGTCGACTTTGACTCCAGTTAAATTTGAATTTGAAATGAAATTAAAGTGAATTTTTAAAAAAAATATTTAATGGCAAATTCACTTAATTTTACTTATGGTCCATAGATATTAATAGATAAATGAATAAAAAATAAATTAGTTTGCTAGACAGATATCTTGCAAGGTTCAATATATGTAGATCATAAAATAGAATTTCGTTAAATGAAGGGCAAATTAAAAAAATTCAAAGAAAGCCATTTATGAATTTTCACTACCAATAAAATTCTCAGAACAATTGGAATTTTAGAATCAGGACAGTCCAACTGCAGACATTGCAACTGAGTCTTTTTCCTCTTCCAATGATGAATTAGATTTTGAGAAATATTAGTATAATGTAAAAAAGTCTGAGGCAAAATGAATGAAAATAAAGTACCAAGAGCCTTTATATATAATATAAAAATTAAGCAATGATCGCTTTTGAAGAGCACCTCTTTTAGAACTTATACAAACCTAACTTGAAAATTAAAAGTAGCCCTAACAGTAAAGGTTCTTCCTACTCAAGTTAATATGAAAAGACTATTCTCAACTCTGAAGTTTATCAAACGAAATCTACGAGCGTCTATCAAAGAAGATCTTGCCGAAGCTATTCTGTTTCTTAGCTACTGATGCCAGTTTTTCCATTTCATAATAAATGCAAACTAATGTAAGTCATCTGTTATGCTGTCAATTATTCTTTCTGTAGCATCAATTACTTCTTTTAAATTTTTAAAAAAAAAGCTCTAACAACGTGTATATGTTGACATGCATGTGGTAGTCTAAATTTAAACTTCCTGGAATCTGAGTGTCATTTTCATTACTGACTCCATAGCCCTGCTTATGTGTAACTCATTGTAAGTAACACATTAACTTCTAATCGATTTATAAAACCTGCAAAGAAGTTATAAAATATTATATCAATGCAAAAAGCTTGCATTAGGACTATGTTTGTTCCTAAGAATTATGAATTCTCAAAATTTTATAGTATTGTTGTGACTTATCTGACTTAGATCAGATGAAAATTGAGTCTGGTACTTTGCGAAAGCATATTGCTCTACCGTGTATAAACAAAGCAAAGCTGTTAATGTGTTAGAAGTTAAGTAATGTTATAATTTTGTCAATATTTAATGTATTTTAATCTAATTTTGTGTTAAGGGTAACTTTCAACCTTTTGTTTGCCATACAATGGTCAACTTGGCTTTTTTTTTCTTTTTTTTTTTAAACTAATTTAAAAATGTTTTTAAAAGCTATTTGCTTTTAAGGTTTTTGGTAGTATAACATCTGATAGCAATAATTATTCTTCTTATATTTTAGTACAGTTTCTATTGTGTTTGTGCTATTAATTTTTTGTAACATTTCTTTGTGGCATCAAGTTTTTAAAAAAAATAATAACTTATGTCAAATACTTAAGCAACGAAATAACATTCACAATAATTAATTTTACTTGAAGCTGTTTATAATTATCAAAAGACTGGACTACATTATTTTTGTTAATGTGTATAAACAAGGGGAAATACCTTCCATGTTACATGTAGAAATGCTAAATATTTATTCTAATTTTAAGACTATTGTCTTCTGTTAACTAACATTGCAATTTTCTTTTTTTTTTCTTTTCAGAGGCACTGTAATGATTGGCTTATTATAACATTAGTGGTGCCTCTGCCCGCAAAATAAAAAGCATTCTACAAGAGATTTTGCTGTCCGAGAGATGGTTGGTTGTTTGATGTTCCACCATTCTTTCGGCAATAAGTTCGAGGCGACGGCAGTGGTGTGCCTTCGTCTCTCTGAATCTTATTACATCTCTCTTTCTGTGTATGGGACCCTAAAGTCTGTACCCATAGCAAGCAAGATATTGTCATGTCATCCGTATTGTAAAAGAATAACTGAGAGGATAGAAATGATCTTACCTGTGGTTGGAATCTTATCAACAAACATTGAAGAAAGAACATAGTACTTAGCTTCCAGTTGCAATAGGATTTTCCTTACTCATTACAGTCCCCCCCCCCCTATACACAAGAAATCTTTCATTTTCTTTAATTCATAAGGAAATCCATAGTATCATGCACATTCATATAATTTTTCTAATTTTCCACACTAACTGTCATGTGTATTGACTCTAAATCAAAGAAACTTACTTGTCAATCATAAAAATCTATAATAATAAGTTTACACACTCAGGGGCGTAGCAAAAAAAAAATTATTACTTAAAAAGATTTCATACTTCCTTAACCTTTTTGTTAGTGTTTTTCTCTTTTAATTGCTGTTAATCCTTAATGGATCCTCTTTGAGATGCCTTAAATATTGTTTTCTTTGGTTGATTTTATTACTAACTTTTCTGCTTCTAGCTCTTTAAGCTGTGACCAATTCTTTAAACAAAAACATTCTTTGACTTCCAACTTTTTCTGCCTTTTAGAAAAACTGCCAGTTGGTGCCAAAGACCATTGGATTTATGACATATTGGTTTCAGTCTATCAATATTTACATGATAAACATTTTGTTACCTTGAAAATTGTAGTAAGAGAAAGAGTGTACTTATATTCTAATTTGCTGCAGCTGGTTTACTATGCTTGCTAATTTTTCACCACTTTTGAAGTAGCACTCAGCCTTAAGAAGATAACTTATTTTCCTCTTTATTTCATTACAGTTCAAGAAAAGATTTTGAAAAATTCTATAAAATTTCCAAAATGTTCTGAGATATTGAATTATGACCCTTGTATACCCTTTTAGCTACGCCCCTTTTTACACTAAAGCATATTTTATTTACCATTCATTCCTTTACCTAAGTGAGACATAGAAAGTTACTCTTTAAAAAAGTGCCATAAACATTCTTCAAGCATTGTACATTGTTGCAAGATGTTTAAGATGTCTGCTCCTGTGTTTGCTCTCATATAAAGGAAGGATTTAAAAGGAAGACTTTAGGAGAGCTTCTACATAGGAGTTTTCAGGCTTCTGAAAGTAGCTTGCAGCTATGTCCATTTGGATTTCCACCAACCACAGGTAAATTAGCTGAATTTTGATTATTCATCTTTGTGCAAACAGTCAAGTAATTCTTATTTTGATGCAGATACTTTTTCTCTCCTTTTAAATATGCTACAGAAGAAATAAATACTTTTTCATCTATTTTCTGAATATCTTATCAGCATTTAATATTGCATCAACAATACATTGTTTAATTGTTTGCACATTTTTGATTTGTGTTGCTAATGAAAACTTAAGAAGCATGAATTTCTGTAAAGACACTAATTGGGTAAGTGTTTTTGTCTCCATTTCTTGTTATAAATTAGTACTTTTTCTCATGCCTGTCAATTCAGGGCCCTTCCCGACATTAATTATAGATTTAAAATCTGTGATTTTGTTATTTACTATTCTTAGTTTATTGTTCAGAAATTTTAAACTTAAACACTAATTTGACATAGAAAAAAAAATTACGTACTCTGATTATTTCTTATTTAGCTTGATACTTTTAAAATTTGGTTTCTTGTTTTCGTCAAATTTATACTTAGCAGTTTTACATTAGGCAAAAGTGAAATACAGTGTCCAATAAAAATAAAAAAAATAAGATATGTTTTTTTATTTATATATATATATATTTTTATGAAGCTGAGAAACAACATAATAGCTTACTTATTTTTAATGAATTGGATATTTTACTTTTTCAAAAAGTGGTCATATTGTCCAATGAATTAAAAATAAGACTAGTTCTTGTGTTTCTCAGTTCCTTTTAAGGCGTAGGATAAATTTTCTTATTTGTTTTTAGTAATGTATTTAGTTAATTATTCAATTAAGTAGCTAAAGACCTGTGCCCTGTTTTCTTGCATTTAAGTAGGCCTTTTGAACCTCTAAATTGCAAAAATTGGGCACTAGACTTATACCCTGGTAATAAATTTGGACAGGTTTTTTTTTTTTTTTTTTTTTCCTGATACAACACTTTGCTTAAAATTACCAATGTACTTGGAATAACACAATCAGTTCAGTAGTAGTTTGTATTCAGTATTATTAAAAGGGATTAAATTGTGTTTGATAGCTAAAAGTTGTAGTTAAGCATTTATTTTTAAAAATTTATTTGAAGCATGTAGATTTAATTCATGCATGTAGAAAAACATGCATGAATTAAAGGGGCGAATTATACATCCAGTGAAAGCTCAATTCACTATTTTGAAGCTAAAAATGGGTTCATTTATGCCCTTAATCGATTATACTCAGAAAATGTGGTGAAAGAAATTGGTTATTAAACGGAAGGTATTGAGTCAATACAATAATGCATTTCCAATTTGTTTGGACGAGTATTACAAGTGAACAATTTGATATTGAAACATCTTTGTGAAAGGTAATTATGCTGTCCCAACTGTTTCATTTGTATGATTTGAATAAAAGTTTAATTTTATATTTTATCTAAAACTTTTATGAAATTAAGTTGAAGATAAAATCTTAAAAAGCTTTTAGAATTTTTCTTGTTTAACCACAAATTTCTTTTTTATTTATTTGATGGAGTGTGTTAAGTTTTTACAAAAGCTGAAAAGTTGTTTTGGATGGATATTGTAACCCACAATTTTAATCTTTCTTTAAAATTACTCAAGGTCTATTAAAGTAGTAAGGTTCTCAAACAAAAGGTACTATATGTTTGATAACCTGATAAATTACATTCTTGAAGATAGGAGGTATGAGATCTACTGGTTTACTATTATTTTAAGGCTCCTTTGTTTTTACTTTTCAATTGAAACTTTTAATAGCTCTGTCCCATTGTTGAAACTAGAAAAAAATAGTATTTTATTTTTTACAAAAGTTGTTTTTTTTTTTTTTTTCATGTAGGACAGTGCAAATTAAAAAGAAAATTAATATGTTATACTAAAAACGCTTCACAAACTATTAGTATGAAAATTACTCGTATTTATATATTTTAATAAATTTCCAGATTGGATTGTTTATTTTATGCTGTTATTTGTTTTTTCATTTTTTTTTAAAATTGAACTTTGTCATTTTGGAGTTGTTACATGCTTTGTTTTCTATTAAATATCTGCTATACCAAGAAAACTTGTATTCAAGTCATCAATATCTGAAAAGTCAGTGACAAATTAGCAGGATAATAAATTTCAAATGATAAATCTTTAAAATATTTGATAGCACAATTATTGAAAAAATATTTTATGATATAGTACTATAGAACTTTAAAATAATTATCTATATAGCCGTGTAATTGTTTTAAAAATTTGATGTAACATGTTTGTTATAAAATTCACTCAAAATTCGCAGTTAAAATTTGCATATTTTCTTAGAGCTTGATTTCTAATAGGTTTGGATACTAGAAGATTAATATTTTATTATGAAGTTTTATAAAATTTGACAGGCATGTTAAGAAAAATTAATGCTGAATTTTTATATTTGAAAAAGCTTTTTCTAATTACTTGATAATTACTAATACCACTATTTTTCAAAAATTTTCAGACGTTGACGATATAAAGTTTGTTATCAACTTTGACTACCCGAATTGCTCTGAAGATTATGTTCATCGAATTGGTCGTACGGCTCGTAGCAATAAAAGTGGCACGGCATACACTTTCTTTACAACGAGTAATATGAAGCAGGCAAATGACTTGATAAGTGTTCTCAAAGAAGCGAACCAAGTTGTGAATCCCCAACTCTATGAAATAGCTGACATGGGTAGAGGTGGAGGTGGCAGAAGTAAGTTAACCATATTTTAAATTCGAAATTCAGGAAAGTAATATTTGTATATTTATTTATGAACCTAATTGTTTTTGATGTTTATGAAATGTATCCTCAAATGAAGAGTTGTAAGTGTACTTTTTGATTCATTGAATATTTTTCTTTTAGTGAGAAGTCGAAACATGCGTGGCGGACGAGGTGACATGCGTGGTGGTATGGGACGAGGTGACATGCGAGGAGGTGGTGCAAGAAGAAATGATATGCGTGGTGGTGCTGTTGTAAGGCATGACATGCGTGGTGGTGCTGTTGGACGACATGACATGCGTGGTGGCCGTGGGGAAGAACCCAGAGCTGGTCGTCCTCAAGGAAAGGAAGGATTTGGCCCTCCCCGAAATGACAGAGGTCGAACTGATGATAGGGCCAGAAATATGGGTGGTCGACCAGAACGTGGACCTCCTCCAGATCAGTATGGGGCTGACCGTCAGCCTCCTCATTATGGTAGAGATGGACCTGCTGGAAATTTTGGTAGAGATAATCAAGGAGGAGGCTATGGACGTAATCAACAATCTGGATTTAATGGTAACCAAGGTGTAGGTTACAATAGTGAAAGTGCAGGTTATGGACGAGGAGGACCACCAAATGGTAGTTATGGAAAAGATAACCAAGGTTATAACCAAGCTCCACGTGGAGGACTTTTAAATACTCCTCAGGGAGGAGGTGGAGCTTATCCTCCTCAAGATAGGACACATACTGATGCACGTTATAATACACGATCTCAGCCTGGAGGCCCTTCTAGAGGCAATCCAAGATCTGAAATCCATGTACCTCATGGGAGGAATCAAGGTCCTCCCACAAATCAAAGTATGAATGGTCAGTATATGAATGGACCACAAATGAATGGAGCTGATCGCCACACAAACAGAGGCAATCAAGACATGAGTATGTCTCATGATTCCCATCATAGAGGACCCCCTCCCCGTCGCTACCAGGATCCTAACCTCATGAATGGCCCTCAAGGAAATCAACATATGAATGGTCCTCCAAATCCTTCTCCTAATAGCCAGCAAAGAAGTAGACCAATGTCTCATGCACAAACCATGCAATCATTATTTCAGCCTCCACCACCCCCACCTCCAGGTCCGGGACCAAAAACATTGATGGGGCCACCACCTACCCAAATGAACAAATATTATTAAAATAAGAACTTGATTTCAATTCATCTATAATCTCCAGATGGGATTATGTGTTTTGCTCCCAAAGCTTTCTTAATGTAAATAGATCATATTTATTTTTTATTAAATTAATTTAAACTCTTCTCGAGGGAAAAATCTTTATAATCAATTGCGCTTATCATTTATTTCATTTTTGTGATATCTATTCTATTGTATATTTTGTATCTTGATGAGTTATTTGTACTGGTACTTTTAAGTAGTTATTCATTTCATATTCAACTTTCATAAGCTTTATAGTAAAGCTTACAAAATTTTAACAGTATAAATTCGGGTTTTCTTTTCTTTCTTTTTTTTTTATTCCTAATATTAGACTAAAATAAAGTACTCTGTATTAAAATCATTTGTATCTCAATAAATTTTTCTTCACAATTTCTCAGTTTCATTCATTTCGTATATACTTATTACAACACGCGTTCTAAATTAGGGTTACTTTGTAAAATATATTAAAGGAGATATTAAAATCTATATACAGTATAATCTTGATCTTCTGAGCTTGTCTCACAAAGTTGTGTACGAAAAACATATCTCTATCAGAACATAAAAAATATGCTTTAGTCAGACTTAGTTGAAGCACAAATAAGATGTATGAGAATTGATTTTTAGAACTATGCAAGACTTCGTTTATTTTTTACATGCTATGCATTTAATGTTGGGTATGCCAAAACCCTGGTTTTTTGGAGGGAAAAAAGCCAATGCATATTTTTTTTTTGTAGTTAAAAAATTTTTGATTGAGGATAACTGGTTTTTTTATAGTATATTCTGATATACATATTCTGAGAAATTGATATAGCAGGAGTGGCCAAGCTCCTACAAGCCATTTTTCAAAATTTAAAATTTTTCGCGAGCCGCAATTAATACTATTTCAAAGGTACTAAATTTTTTTTAACATAAATTATATTTATTAAAAACATATAGGTAAAAGTACAAAATATGTGTACTGAATTTAAAATTAAACACATTTATTTTACTTCTCTTGATCAGGGTGGCCACCCACCTGGAAAACCTTGAAAACCTGGAATTATCAGGGAATTTTTTTATACTGGAAAAAACCTGGAAATATCAGGGAAATTTGGATAAAAACCTGAAAAAATCAGGGAATTTTAAAGAAAAGCTGGAAATTTTTCTTTGATAATTTTTTTAATTTCACTAATTTAAATTATTTACTAATTTTCTTAATTTAAATTATTTCATCCATTATACCCACTTTTTTGAAACGGAAATGTATCGCCAAACAGTTGAAATATCATCAACTTAGCTGTACTTTGCTTGCATCAAAATTTGCTCCATTACAGCTCTGTTAAACTAGAATGCCACATAAAATTCTCACACAGTTGCTAAACGAATGTAGAAACCTTTGACTGCTATGGGACTGTGCAATTTAGGCAAGATTCTGGTGGGGGTGGAAAAAGGGATTGGGATATTAGCTTCTTTTTTTTTTTTAATTCTCTCCTTGGGCTGAATCCATTTATGGCTCAACTTTGTTCCAATGCTTTGGTGGTAATTTTTCTTTCTATTTTGACAAAATGTTTTTGTATTTTTAACTTTATAAAATTCTCCAAAAATTAGTTGGTTATAATTTAATAATAGATTTTATATCGCAGTCTTTTTCTGAAAGCTTTTCTACTCCCAATCAAAGAAATCTGAATTATTTTTCTCAGCAAACCAACCAATCACACATTTTTTTACAATCGCTAACAGCAATGTTTGTCGACAAATCGTTACAATTGTTGCATTAATGCTAATTTTTTCTATTTCATTTTAACCTTTTATAACATATTTTAATTTTAAAAAAAAGTTTTTTTAAGAACCAACTATATATTTATATTTAATTTTACTCTTTTGTTGGTCAATATGATTTTTGATTCGATATTTTGTACCAAAACATTAAAAAATAAATTTAAAAAAATCTTGAAAATTGTCAAAATAAATTATTTTTTTCAAGATGATATGTTAAAAAAATAACATTTTGAATAAAATATTTTATAATATCGACACTTTTCTTGTACACATCCTATACTTTATATGAAAAAAGAAACAAAAACCTGGAAATTTTATGATTTTTATCTGGAAAACCTGGAAAAATCAGGGAAATTTGAAATCGGATTTGAGTGGCCACCCTGTTGATATTCTTTAAAATTTAGTGAGTAATTGGTGACGGCACATCTCAGCAATTCTTTGAGATGCTTGTTCGTTAATACTGATCAGTGTTTGGATTTTTCTAATTTTAAAGTGGAATAAAATTATTCACTTGAGTACGTTGTTCCGAATATTGAAATCATTTACAAGCAGCCCTTTTTAATACAGTATACTTCGAATCTGGTACAAATTTCCAAAATTCAGTAATCGACGTTGACTTATATTTTAATTGTACAGCTTGATCTTGCACCTCAATTAGTTCTAAGTTTGTGTCATAATTATATTAGAAATGGAAAACTCACCTTAAATTGAACAACGTTGCATTTGGTCTTTCATATTAGTTCTCAGTAATTTAAAAAACATTTTGAAACACATACGGAACGATAATTTTTTAAAATATAATAGCACAAAAAGGAAAAGAGAACACGGGGGAGGGGGGTACAGAGCTGATTGTGCTCCGGAAAAAATCCGGATTTCCGGAATTTTCGCTAACAGTGATCCGGAAGTTTCCAGAGATCATGGGTCACAGAAGTTTCCGCAAATCAAATTTTCAAAGGTGGAACTTAAAAACACAGTTTAATTTATTTGTTTGTAAGGAAGAGCCAGAGAGATACTTTATAAGCTTATATTATGATTAATATTCATTTTTTATCAGTAAACAGTTATAATAATGAACTCAAGAAAGAAAGACATATTTGTAAATTTTAATTACTTCTCCAGGTCATCATAGATATGTGTAAAATTTTAAATATATTTTAAAACTAAGAAATATTGAGAAAAAGGAAAAAAAAACTTGTTTAAATTTTTTTCAATTTAAACTGTCTTTTTTTTAAAAAAAATTGTAACTCAATTTTCCGGAATTTTGACTTGGGCTCACAATCACCCCTGCCGGGGTACATTTATGAGAGCCACAAATAATCCTTCAAAGAGCAGGGCCACCCCTGTGATATCGTATATTCTGAGAAATTGATATTCACAATTATTTTTTAACCGTTAAATGTTTAATGAGCTGCATATAGTTGAAATTGCTTAAACTGTTCTTTGAAATGTGTGGTCTGACATATAAAGAAATCATCTAACCTCTACTACCATGATTTCTTTTTTATACTTCTTGCTTTTGAAAAACAAGATCCTTTTTTTTTTCTTTAAAACATAATATAGAATTTATTATGCCTTATTCTTGCATACATGCTCATTATATTTAATTTATCCATTAAGAAAATATAATTTTATCTAACTTGTTTCTCTCATTAACTTTAAAGCAAATTATACATATTTTTTTTTAACAATTTAAATATAATTGCTTAAAAATTTAAAAAGTAATTGTTGTTCGTTACTTGTAGTTTAAACAGATTTTGACTAATTGGTATCAGTAAAGCCTGCTCAAAATTAAAAGACTAATACCAACACAATTTTTAAACTAAAATAATTCTATATTTTTCAATTTGCTATTATATATATTGCCCTTCCCGGTGGTAGGACAAGGGTAGTTCATCTTTTAAAAATAAAGATTAACTCTATTCAGAATCTGTTGGAATGATGCTGTTGCTCAAGGAAGACTCGTGATACCCACAATCACTTTTCTCCCGGGAACGTGGAAACTTCTTTTCACAGTATCTATATTTTCGCGGCATTGATACAATTTTAATAGGCATTAAATATAATACATTCTAACTATATTTGTACATATTTCCGTAATGGTAATAGTGCCCGTAACCGAAAGTATCGCTGGCGCCTAGAACGTGGCTATTTCTTGTTGTTTTAACTGTTAAACGAATTAGTGCCATTTCTCTATTAATTTTGATGTATAGTTCTTAGAGTATATAGCTTTTTTTTTTTCGAGTAGTACTTATCAAAATTAGCTAAGCATCATCCGCATGAATAATAGTTGGACATTTTTTTGCGTTTCTCATAGATTAGTTCAAGTGCTTTTGACATAATATTGCTTATAACGTAGCTTTTTTTTTCAATTTCAATAAGCAATTATTAAAATTAATTGAGCAGTAATAGCGTCAATAATATGGCGATTTTTATATTTCTCTTAGACGATGTTTGTCTAATAATTTTATTTTGTAGTGCAGAACTTTTTTTTGTCATTTTATTTAGCACTCATAGCGAAAAAAAAAAAAAAAATTAATTGACGTCAATAATGTAGCGATTTTTTTTTTTTTACTTTTCTCCTGCATGAATTGGTGTCATTATTAAATTTGCTTCACATCGTACTTAAAATATATAGCTTTTAAAAAAAAAATTTTTCGTTGGTACTTATTACCAAAATTAATTAAGCATCATTGGCATCAATAATCGGCGATTTTTTTAAGTTTCTCTTAAACGAATTAATACTATTTCACATTTACTCTTGCCTTTTTAGTACTTTATTTTAATTCTTTATTTCAATTTGTACATATTGCCGGGATAGCCTGGTCGGTAGGGCGCTGGGCCCATATCCAAGAGGTCGTGGGTTCGATCCTCGCCGGCCGAAGACTCCCCGTGTAGTAAATGGTGACTGATGCACGTTAAATCTGTCGAGTCTCAAAGTCCTCCATGTTCCCACAACAAATCAATACCTCTGGGGGTACTGATCCAGGAGTTTCCTTGTCTTCTGGATTGGTTCAAAATTACAAGGCTACGGAGTTGAACGTAAGTAGTCGTAAACCCATGAAATTGGGTCGGCTGTTCAACGACGGTTATAAAATAAAATAAAATTTGTACATATTGCCAAAATGAATTAAGTCACAATGGAATCAATCAAGTAGTGATTTTTCATGGTTCGTGGCCTAAAAGAATAAGTATCTTCTATTTATTATGTATTTTTGAACGTATACCAAACCTCTTACCAAATGTAATTAAACATTAATGGTGTCTATAATAGTATGGCAATTTTTTATGCTCAATGAATGCCCTTTCTCCATTAATTTTTCTTTTTAATACAGAGCATAATAAATCA